CGAGTAGCTGGAACTACAGGCGCGCGCTACCACGCCCGGCTGATTTGTTTATTTATTGTAGAGATGAGGTCTCACCAAGTTGCCCAGGAGGGTCTCGAACCCATAGGCTCAGGCAATCCACTCACCTCAGCCTCCCAAGCGCGGGATTACAGGCTGAGCCACCGAGCCCGGCTGTATTTTCTTTCTTATCCAAGTAAAATGGTGCCAAAAGATAGTCATCTAGCTTTAAATACAAATGAAAACACTATTTTTTTCTATAGATGTGCACACATCTCTCACAAAACATGCAACATCCATTAACTATATCCCTTCCGCAATTGTCTTTTATCCTCTAATACTCCACACACTGCCTATACTGTGCCAGTTCCATAACGACTAGATTTTACAGAGGAAGTTTGTTTATTAACTAGGTAATTTAAAATGTCTTTATACCATAGAAGTTGAGAAGAGGATATGTTTCTTGTGTTAAATTACACCGAATATTAGTTAGGCCTTCAGGCTATTATGCCATTAAATGTAGATGTAATATACTGCAGCTAAAGTAGTATTTAGGTTAGTTTATTAGAACACGGGTGTCAAGATAGAAGCTATCTGGGTGGGCCCGGTGGCTCCATGGCTCACTCCAGTAACTCCAGCACTTTGGAAGGCAGAGGCGAGAGGATTGCCTGAGCTCACGGGTTTGAGACCAGCCTGAGCAACATGGCAAGACCTTATCTCTACAATAAATGAAAAAATCAGCTGGGCGTGGTGGCACAAGCCTGTGGTTCCAGCTACTTGGAAGGCTAACGTGGGAGGATTGCCTGAGCCCAGCAGGTTGAGGCTGGGGGTAGCCATGAGCATGCCACTGCACTGCAGCCTGAGCGACACAGTGGGAGGGAGGGATGGAAGGGAGGAAGGAAGGAAACTATAATGGGTCTGGTTGATCTCCACTGAGATCATTGGCTTCAGAGTTATCTTTCTGTTATATCAGCTGTGAACCAGAGTTGGTTCCATGCAAATCACCACACCTGTTGCAAAAACAACTTAAAGCACATACCTGTGAGCATGCCACTGCACTCTAGCCTGGGCAACAGAGTGAGACTCCAACTCAAAAAAAAAAAAAGCACATACCTAGACAGAATATCAGCAGTTTTATATAAAAACTGCTGTTGTCTGGGCATAGTGGCTCATGCCTGTATTCCCAGCACTTGGGAAGCAGAGATGGGAGGATTACTTGAGCCCAGGAGTTAGAGTCCAGCTTAGGCCACATCTGAGACCCCATCTCTACAAAAAATGAAAAAAGTAAACTGGATATGGTGGTACACACTGCAGTCCCAGTTATTCGGGAGGCTAAGGTGGGGGATCACTTAAGCCTAGGAGTTTGAGGTTGTAATGGGCTATGATCACACCACCGCACCCCAGCTGGGGCCACAGAGTAAGACCTTGCTCTAAGAAAAAAGAAACAAACTGCTATATTTCCTTTTAAATCTCCCTAAACCACCATATACAAGTAAATTTTTTGCTCTACTCAGACTCCCAGTGTTCTAGAGCCATAAAACATACCCTCTTCCTTTCTAGATTTTGCTAAAAATTTTGTCTTTCCCCTGATAAGAAACACCATGATTCAAAGAAGCACACTGGGCAACCCCCTCCAGTCCCCTCCCACTGTGGGAACTTTCCTGTCCTCTCAATAAATCCTGCTTTCAAAAAAGAAGCACATTTACAAAATTCTTAGCCATACCTAAAACTGATTCAGAAAATTCAATAACAAGTACTCTACCTGTTCACAATAAAGTTCAATCTTCTTGTAGGACCTCAAGTTCTCCCTACTTAATGCCAATAGATTTAGTAAACAAAGACTCACATGGTGCCTTGACACACTGCTGACACACACTGTTGACACGAAGATGTAAATAAGTGTAACAATGACACTTCAGGAAATGACTGTGCACTCTATTCATTTTATGATACTCACTAAACAAGCACTGGGCACCAGTGCTCACCAAACAAGCATGAGGCACAATGTTAACACGGTCAACACTAAGAGGAAGAGAATTCTTAGAACTCTCTTCCTGCATAGAAACTTCTCAACTTGCGCATCACAGAATGTATCACAGCATTTCAGAACAAGGAGTTTTAAAATTTACCCCATTTTCTCAGGGTAGGAAAGTATCTTAAACAGCACATGGCAATCATATAGATATATGCTGCTCAATAAAATATCCATCAGCTAAATGTGACTACTGAGCACTTAAAATGTCCAAGATGAGATGTACTATAAGTATAAAATACACACTCGATTTTGTAGATTTAGTATGAAATAAAATATCTCATTATTAACTTTTAAACTTGATTTCAGGCCGGATGCGGGAGCTCACACCTGTAATCCCAGCACTTTGGACTGCCTGAGCTCAAGGGTTCAAGACCAACCTGGGCAACTTGGCGAGATCTTGTCTCGACAATAAATTAAAAAATTAGCCAGATGTGGTGGTGTGTGCCTATGGTTTCAGCTACTTGGAACGCTGGGGCAGAAGGGTTGCTTAAGCCCAGCAGGTTGAAGCTGCTGTGGCCATGAACGAGTCACTGTACTCCATCCTGAGTGACAGAGACTCTGACCCTCCCCTAAAAAAAAATTTTACTTTGAAATGATATACATACAGGATTAAAGAAAATACACTATTAAAAATTAATTTTAGCGGGGCTCAGTGGCTCAGCCTGAAATCCCGCACTTTGGGAGGCTGAGGTGAGTGGATTGCCTGAGCCCCCACGGGTTCAAGACCCGCCCGGGCAACTCAGCAAGACCTCATCTCTACAATAAATCAAAAATTAGCCGGGCGTGGTAGCACACGCCTGTAGTTCCAGCTCCTCGGAAGGCTGAGGTGGAGGGATCGCTGGAGCCCAGCAGGTCGAGGCTGCGATGGTCGGGAGCGTGCCACTGCATTCCAGTCTGAGCGACAGAGTGAGACTCCAACTCAAAAAAATAAATAAATAAAAATAAAAAGAGAAATAATTATAACCTACGTCTCTGTCCCAAACCAACTCAAAAGCAAAACAGTAGTGTCTCTAGGACTGAGTAGTCCAACTTTGGTCCACAGACATTATGAAACAGTAACGTGTGTTTTAAAATAAGTACTTTTCTACCATAATGTTTTTTTAAAGTATATTTTTAAAGTGAAAAATTCAGTGACATATTTCCATGTGTCATTCCTTCCTCTACTATAAGACATCATTCTACTTTATTTGATTTTAAAGTATCTAGGATTCCAAGAATCCTGGGAGAATAAAAATCCAGTGTATTTCTGAATCTATGAAAATGTTTTTTAAGAGGAGAGCAGGAGACAGCTCAGTAAAGGGTAGGAGTTCAAAGGCTGCAAAGCCACTTCTTGAAAACTGTCAACAAGAAAACTGTATTTTTTAAAAGCTTAAGGAAATTAAGATCAGCGAATGAATCCCCAGGGCTTCTGCAACAGTTGATTGGATTTCTATGGCGCCCTAACAAATTCATAATCCAAAAAAGGTCACACTTGGCTGCCAATTCTTTATCGGTTTGAGCTTCCCCAGCTGATTATGATCTTCAGACTATTTGCTAGGTGATACATTTCTTAGAAACCTTTTCCTTGAGCATTAAAATGCCGACCTCAATACGCTCCCAGTAGAGTAAGCAGAAAGGATTGTACATATTTTAAAACTAGGTATTTATTGACTGGCTGCAATTTCCTGCCTTGGTCGAAAGGATAATGGGATAATACTCTTTCTGAGCATGATCCTCAAACACTGAAACCACTCTCAAAGAATCGGGTACTCTAACATCGCCCAATAAAAAGACTGCCAAAATTTCCATTACAGTATCCTATTTTTAGTCTTCGGAATTGGTCTTTAAATTGCATTCCATAGTACAAAGTGTTGGACCAAGTTTACACAGAGAATAAAGTAAGCATCCTGAGGTTTTAATCCTTTTAAGCTTAGAAAGAAATGTTAAGCTTTTGAATCTTATTTTAGGTCTTGCAAACACACAAATAAAAAATGAAAAATTGGGGGAAGTATTGGCCCTAATTTTGGAGGGACGGAAGGGAGGCACCAGGCACTTCTTGCAACCAAAGTGGTGGTAGTGGGGGTTGGGAGACCCACAGGTATGAAGGGAAAACGAAAATTACCCACAAGGGTGGAGAGACCAGGCTGTGGGTAACAGGACAGAAAGGAACAGAGACACAGTGGAAGCCGCCGGCTCCTCGGGGAGTCGGGCGAGGAACGACTTCTGGCGCTAGTGCCCCAGGGAAGGAGAAATTGGCGCGATGCGCAGGGAGCAGGAGCCCCACAGAGGCTGGGGAAAAGAGAGAAAACAGGCGACCGGGGAGGGGGCGGAGGGGACCGGGCTACACCTCCCCGAGGGGGCAGAGGCGGCGCTGCGGGAGGAGGACAGCGCAGGCGGGGGAGCGCGGGGCTTCCCAAAGGATTTCCATCCCCGCCGCGAGCCGCCGGGTGCCCTGCCTCCCGCTCTTCCTCTCCTCACCTGGGAATCGAAGGCGAAAAGCGGGCTACCGCTGGGCGCCGGGTGTGTTTCCAGCCCCACTCGCTGACATGGCGGCCGACGTGCTGTCACAGAGCTTGCTGGGGTCTCCCGTGGGTCGGATGGAAGAGACACCTCTTGCCTTTGCGCCCCGCCTCCCTCTGCCCACCCCTCGCGGCTGGCCGGCTGACTGCAGGCGGCCCGCGACCGCGGAGCATAGAGCGCAAGCGGCTAGAGAGGAAGCACAGGGAGCGGACAACCATAGAGTACGGGCCCGGACACAACCCGGATGGGTTGTCTCTCTCCTCGTCAGTCCACTCACAAGACTCCGGCAGCCGAGCTGGGACGGAAGCGGAAGTGAGGAAAAAAGCAGGAACGATCGGTTGTTCGCATGCGCAGGTTGTAGTGTTTACTTCCGCCTGGCCTGGTCCCTCTGCGAGGAAATGTTGCACGTGGGACGCCTTGCGTGAAGTTTACCAAAGTAGTGACGCTGGGGGGTCATTGGGGTGAACCTTAGAGGCGAGGACATGTGGGTCCCAGTGGCGGGGCTTCATCCGCGGCTGACGCTTTCAGCTTTGGCGGGCTCCGGTCGCTTTTGTGTTTTGCGGTCCCGAGCGGCGACGCAGAAGGGCTTGCCGGTGAGGAACCACCGTGACTTGTCTGACTCTTACCCGCAGTTGTTGCCTAGTCCCGATTTCGGGCAATCGCCCTCAAAGGTGTCTAACTGTCGCTCAGAGTCCAAGCGTTATGTAACCTGTCGGAGACTGGCCGAGACCTTGGCGCAAATCATACCGGGGAAACAAAAACAGCCTTGCAACCTGTTGCTGGAGGTCAATCCAGGTGAGTCCAGCTGATTGCATTTTTTGGGATGTTCATCACTTCTCCAAACTTTTATTGACCACTCTTGTGGAGCTAGTTAAGACACTGCCCTTTCCTTCAGGTAGCTTAGTTGAGGAGATTGCCCACAATGTACACACATAGTCTATTGATAATGGCACCACAAAATATTTCTGTAGCAGTTTGCGCTTTACATAATATTTTGATAAAACATGTTATATTTTACCATCTCTCCCAAAGAATTGCAAGCGCCCACCGCCAACAAGGTAATTTGATCTTACCCTTCGGTGCATCACCCGTAGACCATAGCAGGATGCTGAGAACATAAGATTTATAGACTTTAGGAATAATTTATTACAGCACTATTTCATATCATGGGGAGTCAGTTCTTTTTAGGCTTGTCAATATCTTTGATAAAACATCTGGATAGTCCATGAGTAAATGGTAGACTAGAGGCACTCTTTCTTGTTGGTTTTTTCCTTCTGATGGTAGCAAAACATGATGTGTGTAAAACATGTAATAAAAGTTTGACATTGAAATAGATTATGTTGTTTCTTTTGCAAATAAGCTTTTTGTTCTGTTAATATACTAGGTCCTGGAATCCTGACTCAGGCATTACTTGAAACTGGTGCCAAAGTGGTTGCCCTTGAAAGTGACAGAACTTTTATTCCACATTTGGAGGTATATTTTTAGCTTCTAAAAGTATTTCATTGTTCAGTCAACTACCTGTGAGTGGCTTGGTGAAGTAGAGTTAAGCACACAATTTATTTTTATAGGAGTTATGTCTTAAATATCTTGTTTATCACCAATGACAAGAACACAGTAAATATTCAATGCTTATTGAACGACTGAAAGATTAGGAGTTCTGAGACTTGTTTTCTAGCTCTTCTACAGACAAGCTGGGTGACTTTGAACAGAATGTGTAACAGGTATCACTAGGCTTGTTTCCTCATCTCTTATAGGCTATGTTGTACCCCCAACCTTCTGTGAGCTTGGAATTTAATTGGAGTAAGTGCTAAGGTTAAGTTAGAGTCTGGGTAAACTCTGTATTTAGGATTTCAGAAGAAAGGTTTGGTGTACAAATTGAGTATCCTTTGTCTGAAATGTTCGGAACCAAAAGGGTTTGAATTTCAGTTTTTTTAAGGTTTTGGAATATTTGCAGATACATAATGAGATATCTTGGGGATGGGCCCAAGTCCAAACCCAAAATTCATTTTTGTTTCAAATACAACTTATACATATAGCCTGAAGGTAATTTTATACAATGTTTTAAGTAATTTTGTTAATGAAACAAAGTTTGTGTGCATCAAACCATCAGAAAGCAAAGGTATCACTATCAGCCTCCCGTGAGGACAGTATGTTGTGGTTTGGCATCACCATCATTCCTGACTCTGAATTGAGATGCTCCCAATAAGCCATCATTTTCTTACACCTATTTACACATAAGTAGTCAACAGTAAAAAATATAACATACCATTAATACACTGAAAAAGTGATATGTTCAGGGTAACTAAGTAGCACGGTGGCATCACCAACATACCTTTATCTGCTATTAAACAACAGCAACAAACAATGGTAGGCTGTCGGTCTCTACCTAAGATGATATGTTCTTATTAAAAGGTTACTGTATATCATTTTTTTTAGATGAAAGGAGACATCAGGAGCAGTTGAGGGGCCAGGAAGTGGGTCCTCTAGGGTTAAGGAAGTATTCTGCCAGATGCCTTTTTAGAATAGTTCCTCCTGAATCATCTGCCTCTTTAACAATGGTTTTTGTTTAGGGCTCTCTTTGATTTTACGGACTGATGTGACCTGCACGTTGTGAGCCTGTATTTTTAATGCATCCAGTCACATGAGATCAGGTGTGGACTTTCCCACTTTTGGTGTCATTTTGGCCCTTATTCATAAAGTTTCAGATTTGGGAGTGTTTTGGATTAGGGATGTTCAATCTGTATCAGATAGTTGCCTAGACTGAAGGCATTATCCAAATGGATTTAACAAAATTATTTAAAGCATTGTATAAAATTACCTTCAGGCTGTATGTATAGGTTTTTTCATATAACAGTAAAAAAAGTGGAAATTCCTTGCTTTGTTAGCCAGCCTTCTTTTTTTTTTTTTTTTTTAATCTTTACCTCCCTTTCTCCTTTATAAATCCGCAGATTCAATTTAGGGAATTTATACTTCTATATTCCAGCTTCTGGAAATCATGCAGAATAGCTTTACTGAAATTGCAGAATGACAACAAAAAAATTGTGAAAATGTCTATGAAATCCAGTTGTTTAATTTTAAAAACAAAACTATGAGCATTAGATTATTGTTATTCTACAACTGACTGCTTTGAAAAGAATCCAAGATCTTTGCCAGATTCTTTAATTGACGCTAAATCTACTGGAATTTCAAAACCATGAAGAAAAAAGGAACACAGAATTTTTCAAAGATTTACAGTCATGGAATGTGATTTAATAAACATAATCATCTGTAGTTTCAAGTTGGAAATTAAAAGCCAGAAGATAGTTTTTATCTTGGTTTGGAAAAAAGCCTGTGTTTAAAAGTTAATCTTCTTGTTCACAAAATAATCAAGATGGCATTAAAATCTTTGTTTCAGGCAACCCTTTTTCTGGTCCCCTCTCACTGTGGGAGCTTTTCTGTCTTCTTAAGAAACTTCTGCTTTCTTAAAAAAAAAATTTTTTTTTAAATCTTTGTTTCCATATCATGTAACACAATAGTTCCTTTTTCTGTGAAGTCTTCAAGATGACAAAAGTTTAATCTAAAACCAGTTTTTATGAGAAAAGGAGAATTAGGGACTAGAGAATTTTTGATACACAGTAATTCTTACAGTAATATAAGTAATAAGATGTTTCTGAAGCTATAGATGTAAGCTAAAAATCTAAATCCGGTCTTTAGTTTTTAGTGGTTTTACTGGTTTTTGCTCTGGTTAAGGCTTTTATTTTTTTAATTTTAATTTTATTTTATTTTAGTGAGGGTCTCACTCTTTTACTCAAGCTGGGGTGCAATAGTGTGATCACACCTCACCTAAGCCTTGACCTCCTGGGCTCAGGTGATTTTTCTGCCTCAGCCTCTTGAGTAGCTGGGACTACAGGTGTGTACCACCACGCCCAGCTAATTTTTAAATTTTTTTTTAGAGATGGGGTCGTGCTATGTTGCCTAGGCTGGTCTTGAACTCTTGGACTCAAGCAGTCCTCCCACATCAGCCTCCTGAAGTGCTGGGATTACAGATGTGAGCTACTGCACCTAGCCGCTTTTATTTTCTTATCATTACCTGCACTAAATTGTGCTCAGGTCTTAGTACCTATTCTTTCACTTTTTTTTTTTTTTTTTGAGTTGGAGTCTCACTCAGTGCCCAGACTGGAGTGCAGTGGCCGCTCCTGGCCACCGCAGCCTCGCCTGCTGGGCTCCGGCGATCCTTCCGCCTCAGCCTTCTGAGTAGCTGGAATTACAGGCATGCGCTACCACTCCCGGCTAATTTTTTGATTTATTGTAGAGATGATGTCTTGCTGCCCAGGCGGGTCTCGAACCCGTGGGCTCAGGCAATGTGCTCACCTCAGCCTCCGAAAGGCGTGGGATTACAGGCTGAGCCACCAAGCCCGGCTATATTCTTTCACTTTTAACCATTGTTAATTTTTTTTTTCTTCTTATAGTCAGGGTCTCACTCTGCTGCCTAGACTTGAATATAGTGCACAATCACAGCTCACTGCAGCCTCAAGCTCCTGGATTTAGGCAATCCTTCTATCTCAGTCTCCCGAGTAGCTGGGACTTACAGGAAGGAGCGTGCCAACATGCTCCGCTAATTTTTTAATTTTTTGTAGAGCCAGGATTCACTGTGTTGCCCAGGCTGCTGTCAAACTCCTGGGCTCAAGCAGTCCTCCTGCTTCAGCCTCCCAGTGCTGGGATTAAGTCATGGCACCATCCTTAACTATCGTTATGGTAAATGAAAAATCATTCAAAGTTTCTTGTGACTGTGCTCAGTGTCTCAGCCGGTAATCCCAGCACTGTGAGAGGCCAAGGAGAGTGGATTGCCTGAGCCCTTGGGTTCCAGACTAGCCCAGGCAACTTGGCGAGACCTCATCTCTACAATAAAATAAAAAATTAGCCGGTCATGGTAGTGCGCACCTGTAGTTCTGACTACTTGAAGGGCTGAGGCAGAAGGATTGCCAGAGGCCAGCAGGTGGACACTGGGGTGGCCATGAGTGTGCCACTGCACTCCAGCCTGGGCGACAGAGTGAGATGCCAACTCAAAAAAAAAAAAAAAAAGGTTTCATCATGTGAATTTATTTATTTGCAAGGGGTAGACAGAATTTTTGTGACCCTGCTTTAGGGACTCAAAGTGGTGCTCTTAAGCAGACAATACTTTTAGCAACTTAAAGTTGGCTCTTGAAAACAGAAATTGCCAGAGGGTGCCATGGGGACACACAAAAAAGAAAAAGAAAGCATAATTTTCAAAGGTGATACTTTTTTGGGGACACACAAAAAAGAAAAAGAAAACATAATTTTCAAAGGTGATACAGGTGGACACTGGGGTGGCCATGAGTGTGCCACTGCACTTCAGCCTGGGCGACAGAGTGAGATGCCAACTCCAAAAAAAAAAAAAGTTTCATCATGTGAATTTATTTGTATGCAAGGGGTAGACAGAATTTTTGTGACTCTGCTTTAGGGACTCAAAGTGGTGCTCTTAAGCAGACAATGCTTTTAGCAACTTAAAGTTGGCTCTTGAAAACAGAAATTGCAAGAGGGTGCCATGGGGACACACAAAAAAGAAAAAGAAAACATAATTTTCAAAGGTGATACTTAACTTTAGGATACCCCCACCCTCAATTTCTCATAAAATTTCTGGGACTCCACAGTAATAATGTTTCAGGCAGGAGCAGTTTATTTTTCAGTATGAATGTGCTAGAGATACACATCTGAAATTGTATTCCGTAATAATAATTCATGGTACAGTATATCCATTTGAACTGTGACAACTGTTGTTGCAGTTGTAACTGTGTATGTTCAGTTGAAGGACATCAGCTTTTATGATAAACTCCACATTATTTTAGCAAGGATAGAGCAAAGTCTTTTCGAATCTAGTTGAATCTCAGTCCTAGCACTTACTAGCTCTCAGACTCTTGAACAAACAAATAATTTTTTAACCTGTCTGAGCCTTGGTTTATCTCATATATAAAATAAGATATGGGCCGGTTTTGGTGGCTCACGCTTGTAATCCCAGCATCCTGGGAGACAGAGGCAAGGGGATTGCCTGAGTCCATGGGTTCAAGACCAACTTGGGCAACATGGCGAGACCTTGTCTCTACAGTAAATCAAAAAATTAGCTGGGCATTGGTGGCACGTGCCTGTAGTTCCAGTTATTTGGAAGACTGAGGCTGAAGGGTTGCCCAAGCCCAGGAGGTCAAGGCTGCAGTGGCCATACGCATGGCACTGCACTCCAGCCTGGGTGACAGAGTGAGACTCCAACTCAAAAAAATAAAATAAGTTATGTTAATACCCACATGTACAGGATTTTGGTGAGGTTTAAATAAGACAAACTTATGAAAAGTGCCTAACTTAATGACTGACTAGTAGAAACTCACGGGTTACTTTCCTTTCCTTTGTTCTTTTTGCTTCTTGTTTTTGAATCCTTGAATTTTCAGATGTGATCTCACTATAATTGTATGAATTGAATTATTTATACTAGAGCTTTGGTTATTATCATGTTTGAGTTGTTGAATGTTAAATGACAGATGCTAAAGCAAAAATATGTGGTGACCTCTTAGAATACAAATATAACAAAGTCATAAAGTGTACATTGCTTTTACATTTTCATCAAACTAAAATTCATTAACTTTCCTTAATTACAGAGATTAAAATGTCTTTGATAACTTAGAGGAGGTTATTTTAATGCTATACATGTTGACTAATTTTTAGGGTTTAAAGATAATCATATGGATTATATGGGTACTTTTTCCCTTTGGCTTCCATGACACCACAGTCTTGGTTTTCCTTTGTATTAGTCTCAGCTTCTTGTCATTAGACTTTGGAGTTACTCCTTCAGGCCTCTCCTCTATATTTCTTCCTAGTGTACACTCCTGACTTAAATTACCATCAACAAGCCAAAGACTCACACATTTATATTTTCACTCCACTGAGCACATTATTCAGGTATATAACTTCTTACCTAGCATCTATACTTAGATCATATAGTATGCATCTCAAAATTAATGTGACCAAATATATATAATTTCCACGACCTAGTCTTTCACTTCCTCTAGTCTTTTTAAAGCATCCTCTTGAAAGTGATTGTTAAAATTTACTAGATTTTGAGCCAGATACAATAACTTGCATCTACAATCCCAGTTATTCAGAAGACTGAAGTGGGAGGATTGCTTGAGGCCAGGAATTTGAGACCAGCCTTGGGACATACTGAGACCCTGTCTTAGTATGAAGTAATACTTATTACAAATTTTTTTAATTGCTAGATTTAGAAATAGAATAATATTTATAGATTGAACTCAAATGAAAATCTAGAAAAACTAGATTTTTGCATTAATAACTTTAAGTTGCAAAGTCATTTCAACCCTAATAACTATTAATAGAATTTTCTGTGCATAAAATCCTCAACGTGCACATCTAAACCATGTTGTCCTCTTCTTATTGGTTTATTTTAATAACTTCAAATTAAGTTTATCACGTGTGTACCTAATTCTTGCCCTTAGTGGTAAGGTCTCCAATGCTATTGCAAGAGGAACAAATCAGGGCTGGGCACTTTGGGAGACCCGGGCAAGGGGATTTCCTGAGTTCAGGAGTTCAAGACCAGACTGGGCAACATGGTGAGACCTTATCTCGACAGTAAATCAAAAAATTAGCCTGGCGTGGTGGCGCATGCCTATAGTCCCAGCTTCTTGGAAGGCTGAGGCAGAAGGATCACCTAAATCCAATAGGTCAAGACTGCGGTAGCTGTGATTGTGCCACTGCACTCCAGCTTGGGCAATAGAGTGCGACTCCAACTCAAAAAAAAAAAAAAAAAAGAGGAAGAAATCAGAATAGTAGAAGACTAAGGTATATTGGACCGCTTTCAGCAGACCAGGTGTATAGTTGCTTCTGTTTTTAGGAAAGTAAATGAAAAATTACAATAGCAAAAACATGGAACCAACTGTGCTGCCATTGAAACTGGACTGGATTTTACAATGTGGTACATATACACGATGGAATATTATGCAGTCATAAAGAAAAACAAACATATGGACTTCACAGTAACTTGGATGGATTTAGAGTCTATCATACTCAGTGATCTATCACAGAAGCAAAGAACAGACTACCACATGTTCTCACTTATAAGCGGACCCTGATCATTTACCATAATACTATAAGAAAGGGAATTGGCAGTAGCAGGATACTGCTGGGGGGGGACATAACATCAATAAGGGTACCTGATCTCAAACCAGGTGAAGTAGGAACCAAGGGGAGGCCCAAACTTTTTTTTTTTATTTTTTGAGTTGGAGTCTCACTCTGTTGCCCAGACTTGAGTGTAGTGGCACGCTCACGGCCACCACAACCTCGACCTGCTGGGCTCAAGCAATCCTTCTACCTCAGCCTTCCAAGAAACTGGAAATACAGCCATGCACTACCATGCCTGGCTAATTTTTTGATTTATTGTAGAGATGAGGTCTCACCAAGTTGCCCAGCCCAGGCCTGTCTTGAACCTGTGAACTCAGGCAGTCCTCTCACCTTGGCCTCCCAAAGTGCTGGGATTATAGGTGTGTAAGCAATTGCTCCTGGCCTGGGAGGCCCAAACTTTACTTGTTTGATGACCACTTGTATACCTAATCCTGAATTGTACCCCACATATTTAAAATAAAAATTTTATATTATGATGGAGAGTATGACCTACACAATGAGCTAAGTTCATTTGATGGATAAATGACTAGATTCCTGAAGAAAAAAAGAAACACTCTCTTGAATCTGCCTTTCACTTTCATATTTTAATTGTTTTTCTCTACTATGAAACATTTTTCATTTCTTCCCACAATCATAGCAGATGGCTTACAGCTCTCTGCCTGAGACCAACCACTGTCTTAGAATCTTTGCCCGGTGCTCCAGGTAGCCAGTACTAAGCAATTAGAGATTTGCATGAAGAAGCTTTTGAACAACTACAGCCATTGTGATAAAGTAAAAGGATAAGTACAAATTTAGGAAAGGTTATTTCTGCTGGCTTTTTTTTTTTTTTGGTAATATTACTGTACTTTCACCATTTTTCAGGCATTAATTGATTTTTATTTCCTCTGTTACATTTTAGGTGAGATAGTAATAGTTTTGGTAAGCTCTTTGAATTATTTTTACTTGTTTATTTATTTTCTTTTAAATGTAGTTCTCAAAATTATGGGTTGTTTTGTCACCTCCAAAATAGTAATTAATTATTGTTGATTGTCTACAGTGCCAGGTACTATGTAAGGTGCATTGCATGTTATCTCATTAATCTCCTCAACAACTGCCTGAGGTGGTGGTACTTTTCATTTTATAGGTGAGGATACTGAGACTCAGCAAGGCTAATTTACTAATCTACCAAGGTCACTGAACTAGTAAGTTTTATGAAATCAGGGCTCCACCTGGGGTCTGGCTGCTCTCAGCCTGCTCCTCCATATTGTAGAAGTTAAAAATCACAAGAAGTCAGGAGAGGAATGTCAGCCTGTAGATGCGCCAGATCCAGGGAAGGAGATTAACATGAATTGAAGAATTTGACAACTGTTAAATGACTGTCTATCAACTTCACATGAGGACCATATTCATTAGAGTTCTCCAGAGAAGTAGAACCAGTAGGATGTCTGTCTGTCTCTGTCTATATATCTGTCTGAGGGAAAGAGATTTTATGTATGTACACACACACACACACACACACACACACACACACACACACACACACACACGCATATGCATAGAGATTTAGATTTATTATAAGGAATTGGCTCATGTAATTATGACAGCAAGTCCCAAGATCTGCAGAGTGAGTTGTGTTCTTGCTTTTTGAAGTAGACCTTTGAAATGTTGTAAAGTCTGTCTAATGCTGGAATTTTTCACATTATCTCTGTCTCTTTTTAGTCCTTAGGAAAAAATCTGGATGGACAGCTACAAGTAGTCCACTGTGACTTCTTTAAAATGGATCCTAAAAGTGGTGGACTAGTAAAACCACCCGTAATGGTTTCACATACGCTTTTTCAGAATTTGGGAATAGAAGCACGTCCTTGGTCAGCAGGTAATTTTTGTCATTCACTAAAGCAAATGCCTTATAATTTGCCAGCTTTCTGTAGTGGTACACCCGATTTGTTGATGAGATTTGTACAATATTTTTTTTTCTGAGTTGCCCAGGCTGGAGTGTAGTTGCATACTCACGGCTACCCCAGCGTCAACTTGCTGGGCTCAGGCGATCCTTCCACCTTAGCCTTCCAAGCGGCAGGAACTACAGGCATGTGCTACCATGCTTGGCTCTTATGTTGAACATGGCATTTCCCTTACCTGGTCACAAATAACCACATTATTTCCCTGAAGGCCAATTTCTGTATCAATGAAAGATGGAAGGCTTAGTTTTAATTGAAATGAACTTAAGATTAGTATCATTTGCTTGTTTAGTTTGTCTCAATAAAATATAGTCAGGAAAAATCGTTAAGAACTTTATTCAAATCTTTTTGCTTGTCTTCCTAACAGGTATCCCTTTAAAAGTAATTGGAATTTTCCCAATGAAAAATGAAAGAAAGTTACTTTGGAAACTTTTATATGACCTATATTCCTGTACTTCTATATATAAATATGGACGAATAGAACTAAATATGTTTATTAGTGAAAGAGAATACAAGGTATGTTAACAGGTACCTATTTCTTGCTTTGAGTTTTGTGATTTTCCTTTAGTAGTCTTAATGTGTGCAATTTTAATTCATGATGTTTGAAAGTACTAAGATTGTTTTTAAATTTCTGTAGAGCAATCTCTAGATCCAGGTTGTTTTTTAAGTGAACAGTTTAATGGCATTTAGTACATTCACATTGTGCAACCATTACCACCATCCATCTCCAAAACTTTAAGTAGAATCTCCAGTGTTTGTCCTTTTGTGTAGGAGTTATTTCACTTAGCATAATGTTTTCCTCTTTTTTTTTTTTTTTTTTTTTGAGTCGGAGTCTCACTCTGTCACCCAGACTGAAGTGCAGTGGCCGCAGGCATTTAGTACATTCACATTGTGCAACCATTACCACCATCCATCTCCAAAACTTTAAATAAAATCTCCAGTGTTTGTCCTTTTGTGTAGGAGTTATTTCACTTAGCATAATGTTTTCCTCTTTTTTTTTTTTTTTTTTTTTGAGTCGGAGTCTCACTCTGTCACCCAGACTGAAGTGCAGTGGCCGCAGCCACCGCAGCCTCCACCTGCAGGGCTCTGGCAATCCTTCTGCCTCAGCCTTCCAAGTAGCTGGAACTAAAGGCGTGCGCTACCTCGCCTGGCTGATTTTTGATTTATTGTAGAGATGAGGTCTCACCAAGTTGCCCAGGCAGGTCTTGAACCTACGGGCTCAGGCAGTCCACTTACCTCAGCCTCCCAAGGTGCAGGATTACAGGCTGAGCCACCTAGCCCGGCAGCATAATGTTTTCAAGGTCCATCAATGTTATAGCATGTGTCACAATTTCATTTCTCTTTAAGGTTGAATAATATTGCATTGTATATATCCACCACAGTTTGTGTATCCATTTATCCATCAATGACACTTGGTTGCTTCTACCTTTTGGCAGTTGAGAATAATGCTGCCATGAACATGAGTTTACAAATATCTCTTCGACTCCTTGCTTTTATTTCTTTTGAGTGTATGTCTAGAAGTGAAATTACTGGATCACATGGTAATTCTATTTTTAATTATTTGAGCAACTGCCATACTGGTTTCCATGGTGAATGTAGCATTTTACATTCCGACCAACAGTGCACAAGGATTCCAATTTCTTCATATCCTCTCCAACACTTGAACATCTTTTTGTGTGCTTATTGATCATTTGTATATCTTCTTTGGAGAAATGTCTATTCGGGTCCTTTGCCTATCTTTTTTTTTTTTAAATAAAGATGTAGGGTACAGTTTAGGGTTGGGTATACAAATGTTGATTATGCAGGTACCCTTGTTGATGAGATTGCCCCTCTCTCCTGGCAGTTTCCCTCAACTGCCTTTGCCTATCTTTTAAGTAGGGTTGTTTTGTTTATTACTGAGTTTTAGGAATTCTTTATATATTCTGGGCATGAATCCCTTATCAGATATATGATTTGCACATATTTTCTTCCATTCTGTGGGTTGCCTTTTTACCCTGTTAATAGTGTCCTTTGATGCCCAAAGTATTTTAATTTTAATGAATTCAGTATTATCTGGTTTTGTTGTTGTTTGTGCCTATGGTGTCATGTTGGTATCCTATAACTCATTGCCAAACCCAGTGTTGTGAAGCTGTCCCCCTGTGTTTTCTTCTAAGAGTTTTATAAATTTAGTTCTTATGTTTTGGTCTTTGATCCAATTTGAGTTAATTTCTGTATATGGTTAATTTTTGGATGTGGTTATTCTTTATCTATGCATAAATAATCTAATTTTCTTGCATAGATAATCTGATTTTTGCAGCATTGTTGAAATTTCCCTGTTGAATGGCTTTGGCACCCATGTCAGAAATCATTTGGCCATTTGTGTGAAGATCTATTTCTAGGGTCTCTATGTATTCCACTGGTCTATACGTTTGTCCTTATGCCAGTACTACACTGTGTTATTATTACTATAGCATTATAGTAAGTTTTGAAGTGAGTAGCTGTGATTTCACCAAATCTGTTCTTTTTTTATGATGTTTGGGCTATTAGGTTTCCTTGAGATTTCATATGAATTTTACAATGGAATTTTCTTTCTCTCTAAAACATGTTTTTATAGGGATTGCATTGAATCTGTAGATCACTTTAGGTTCATCCTATAAATGTGATGTCTTTTCAATAAATTCTGTTTTTAATTTCTTTCAGTAGGCAGGGCATGGTGGCTCATGCCTGTAATCCCAGTACTTTGGGAGGTCAAGGCAAGAGGATCACTTGAGCCCAAGAGTTCAAGACCAGCCTGGGCAACATAGTGAGACCTCACTATCTCTACAAAATAAAAAAAAATTAGCCAGTGTGATGGCAAACACCTGTAATCCCAGCTATGTGTGGGTAGCTGCGATGAAAGAATTGGCTGAGCTTAGGAGGGTGAGGCAGTGGTGAGCCGTGATTGTGCCAATGCACTTTAGCCTGGGTGACAGAGTGAGACCCTGACTCAAAAAAAGAAAAAAAAAAAACTCATAAATTTCTTTCAGCAGTGTTTTGTAGTTTTTTTTTTTTGAGTTGGAGTCTTGACCTGCTGGGCTGCGGTGATCCTTCCTCCTCAGCCTTCCAAGTAGCCGGAACTACAGGCACGCACTACCACGCCCGGCTGATTTTTGATTTATTGTAGAGATGAGGTCTCGCCAAGTTGCCCAGGCGGGTCTCGAACCCGCGGGCTCAGGCAATCCACTCACCTCAGCCTCCCAAGGCACGGGATTACAGGCTGAGCCACCGAATCTGGCTTGTAGTTTTTAGTGTAAAAGTCTTTTACCTCTTTGGTTAAATTAATTCCTTGTTTTTAAAAAAATTTTTTTTCATAAAAATTATTATTATTATTTTATTATTTTTTGAGTTGGAGTCTCACGCCATCAACCAGGCTGGAGTGTTAGTGGCATGCCCACGGCCACCCCAGCATTGACCTGTTGGACTCCGGCAATCCTTCTGCCTCAGCTTTCCAAGTAGCTGGAACTACAGGTGCATGCTACCACACCTGGCTAATTTTTTGATGTATTGTAGAGATGAGGTCTCGCCAAATTGTCCTCGAACCTGCGGGCTCAGGCAGTCCACTCGCCTCAGCCTCCCAAAGTTCTGGGATTACAGGCTAAACCACCCAAAGTTCTGGGATTACAGGCTGGGATTACAGGCTGAACCCAGCCAAAAATTATTTTTTATGCTACTGCAAATGGAATTGCTTTTCTAATTTCCTTTTTTGATTGTCCATTACTGGTGTATAAAAATATAACTGATTTTTGTCTGTTTGTTTTGTATCCTGCAACTCTGCTGAATTCATTTATTAGTAGTTCTAACAGGTTTTTTTAGTGGAATCTTTAAGGTTTTAGACTTTGTAATGGAAGGGCCTCCTGACAACCCTGATATTGCTTTGAGAGTAATCTTTTCTGCTTAGAATGCTTCATGTTGTTAATCTGTTAATCTGATATGACAGGAAGTGCTTATTGGTATGTAAGAGAGCTATGAATTTAGGATAGTGGGGCAAGAAATGAAGGGATGATTCACTCCTCAAGATCCCTATTGACTAGCAATGGAAGTAAGTAAATACTGACTAGTTATAGAAGTGAACAAAATATAAATAATTCCTGCCTATGAATCCTTCAACATAGCAGGTAGAAAAACATTACATGAGTAATTAATTAACTTGTGGTATGTACTGTGGAGTAGAATAGGTGTATTAGTGGTGCCTGTCATGGCCAGGCTTGGTGGCTCACTCTGTCAGCCTGTAATCCCATCACTTTGGCCGAGTGGATTGCCTGAGCCTGCGGGTTTGAGACCGGCTTCAGCAACTTGGCGAGACCTCATCTCTACAATAAATTTTTAAAAATTAGCCAGGCGTGGTAGCATGCACCTGTAGGTCTGTGCTGGGGTGGCTGTGAGCGTGCATGCCACTGTACTCCAGCCTGGGCGATGGAATGAGACTTCAACTCAAAAAAGAAAAGAAATGCATGTCATGTGGGCTATTACATTTTGAATCAAATTGTTAAGGCTGACACTTGACAGATAAGAGTGAACAAGAGGGCAACAAAGAATGGAAACTATATGTGAAAAGGCTCATGGTCCTGAGCTCAGGGGCTTGAGACCAACCTGGGCAACTTGGCAAGACATTGTCTCTACAGTAAATCAAAAGAATTAGTTGGGTGTGGTAGCACATACCTGTGGTTCCAGCTACTGGAAGGCTGATGTGGAAAAATCACTGGAGACCAGCAGGTCAAAGCTGTGGTAGTTGTGAGTATGTCACTATGTCACTGCACTCCAGCCTGGGTGACAGAGGGAGACTCCTACTCAATAAATTAATTAGTTAATATAATTAAAAAATAAAATAGGACTTTCTTTAAATGGTTGAGATTTTGCTTTCTTTTCATTTCTTTCTCTCTCTCTCTCTCTCTTTTTTTTTTTAAGAGATGAGGTCTTGCTATTTCCCAGTGGCTACTCACAGGTGCAGTTATAGTGCACTGTATTCTTGAACTCCTGGCTCAAGTGATCCTCCTGCCTCAGCATTCCAAGTAGTTGAGATCACAGACAAATATTACTGCATTTTTTTCTCTTTTGCATCTAATTTTGATTTTCTTTACTTAAATTTCTAGATGCCGTTAAGATACTACTATTAAGAATCAACATTTGATTTTGATTGATTATAGGTGTATATAACATGTAATTTTTATTTTCCTTTTACCAGAGACTAATGGCAAATCCCAGAAATCCAAACTTCTATCAGGTATTAAGTGTACTCTGGCAAGTAGCTTGTGAGATTAAGGTTCTGCACATGGTGAGTAAAATCCTTTTAAATTTCAAGAATGAACTTTGTTTTTCAAAGAGACTATTAAATGGAGATCGTTTAAAGATTAATTTTATTATTTTTCCTGACTGTTGAAGGTAATAAGGTAAGGTAACTTTGTGGTGATGAATTTTTTTCTTACAAATATTTTTCTCTTATTACGAAAATAATGTATGGTCTTTATGAAACCATGAAATGTGTTTCTTCACAAAAGGAAAGGAAAAAAATTAAGCCATCACTATAGTTCTACCACCCAGAGGTCACTGTTAACATTTGTCACATATTTTTTTTAAATTGGAGTCTCACTCTGTCACCCAGGCTGGAGTGCCTTGGCACGCTGATGGCCACCCCAGCATCAACTTGCTGGGCTCAGGTGATTTTCCACCTCAGCCTTCCAGGTAGCCAGAACTACAGGCGTGCGCTACCATGCCTGGCTCTTTTTTGATTTATCGTAGAGATGAGGCCTTGACAAGTTGCCCAGGCTGGTCTCGAACCCGCGGGCTCAGGCAATCCACTGGCCTCGATCTCCCAAAGTGCTGGGATTACAGGCTGAGCCACCGAGCCTGACCATCGCATCTTTTTAGTTTTCTATTTTTCTTGTGTTTCTCTTTTTCTTTACATGGAGATTATATAATTTTGTATCTTGTTTTTTACACCTAGTAGCTAATAGTTAATTTTCAGCATTTTTCCTAGTCACTGAAAGTTTTTCTTAAGTTTTTATTTTATTTATTCATTTAATTTATTTATTTTGGAATTGGAATCTCACTCTGCTGCCCAGGCTGGAATGAGGTGGCATGCTCACAGCCACCACAGGCTCGACGTGCTGGGCTCAGGTGATCTTTCTGCCTCATTCTTCCAAGTAGCTGAAACTACACAGGCCACCATGGCCAGATGATTTTATTTATCATATAGACAAGGTCTTGCCAAGTTGTCCAGGCTGGTCTCAAACTCCTGGCCTCAGGCAGTCCTCTTGCCTCAGCATCCCAAAGTGCGGGGTTATAGATATGAGCCACTGTGTCCAGCTTTTCTTAAATTTTTAATGTTTACTTAATGTTTCCTTGTAAGGTATTCTTCTTTTTAGTTTATTTCCTTAGGGAAGATTAGCATTGTCTAATAGGAATATAATGTTAACCACATATGTAATTTTACATTTTTGAGTAGCCACATTATAAAGAGCAAAAAAGAAAGAGGTGAAATTAATATTAATTTTATATTCTCTTTAATCTTGTTGATTAAAAATATTGTCATTCCAGGATGTAATTAGCATTTTTAAATTACTTATTACATAATTTACATTTTTTGCATTTGTACTAAGTCTTTGAAATTCAGTACACATTTTACACATATAGCACATCTAAATCAGACTACTATACATTCCACATGTGGCAAACAGCTACCGTATTTAATAGCAGAGGGCTAAAGTATAAGAAAAAAATGATAAATCATATTTTTTCATACCATAATTTGTCCATTCTCTTATTCAGTTTAGTAAACTAGGTATTAAGTAACTTTTATAGGAGATATAGTTAAATATTTTATGATCCCTTATTCTTCTAAGGGTATTGTTGGTTTAATTTTTGCTTGTTTATTTGTTTATTTTTAGAGACAGAGTCTCACCCTGTCACCCAGGCTGGTGTGTGGGAGTACAGTCATAGCTTACTATAGTCTCAAACTCCCAGGCTCAAGTGATCCTCCTGCTTTAGCTTCCTGAGTCACTGGGAGTTTAGGCATGCTCCACTACATTTGGCTAATTTTGAAAATTTTTTTAGAGACAGAGCCTTGCTATGTTGCCCAGGCTGTTCTAGAATTCTTGGTCTCAAGTGATCCTCCTGCCTCAGCCTCCCAAGTCGCTGGGATTACAGGCGTGAGTCACCATATTTTTTTTTACAAGATGTGTCTTCATGTATTTTTTTTTTTTATAAGATGTGTCTTCATGTATTTTCTTTTTTTTTTTTTTTTTTTTAACCGTTTTTATCTGGGAGTGTGCTGAACCCTTCAGTCTTTATACCTAGTTGTTTTTTTGTGTTTTTTTACACTCAGGAATGTTATTTCATTTGATTATGGTTTTTGTCTCAGTTATTATTTTTCTTCAGAAACATTTCAGGTTCTCAAGTTGCATCTCTGGTCCTTGTCTTTTGAATCTGTCTTACTCCTATCATTTTTCTCCATTCACAAAATATTTTTGCACTTAGTCTTCACATCACTGATTCTGCTTTCTGCCTGCACTATTTATTGTAATGTTGGGACTATAATTCTTGATTTCCCTAAAATTCTATCATATCCACTAATCTTGTCTCATTCTGTTGGCTTTTCATCTCAGCCTCTTCTATCCTTATGGTAGCCTGTTTCTTCATAGAGGCCTCCTTTGGACTTAAGCTTTCAGAAAAATGTTTCTTTCTTCTTCTCCTTAATATTTGTCTTTCAAATGTCCTGTGTTAAGTTTTGCCATTTACTAAACTCCAGAAAGGAGAGGTCTTTCTGGACCCAGCATTTTTAGTACTTGTTTCACTGTGTATGTACAACTGCAGAGTAAGTTGCTGAACTCAGTTCCCAGGGTCCTGCAGATTTTCCTTTTCTATGACTTGGTTAGGAGAAAGTGAGGTCTCATCTGCTCCAGCTGCCATATCCCAGACTGCTGTGGCTAGACCAAGCATGTTGGAAATTGAAGTGTCCATTGAGCACTGCTGTCAGTGCTGCGCCTTTCTCTACTAAAAGTGACATTCCTGGACCTGCTGGGAATTTCACAGATAGGCAGCAGTTGTACTTTTCATTGTATCCCCATTGCCACTGCAGTTAATAATAAATTACCATTTCTAACAGTAGCCTCTCAAACCTTATAATCAATATCATTTTAATTGTTTAAGTCTGTGTCAGTTGTTTTAACTCACTGTTATTTTAGAATTTAATGTAGGTATGTATTTTTTAATATAGACTAATTTTTCAGGTAGTTCGTTTTTTAAAATTGCTTCTTGCATAACATTATGTGTATGGAAATTAGACAGAAAAAATAATGATCCTTTTAAAAATTGACTCAAGTATCAGGCTTTTCTACTAAGGTAGGGCAAAGAAAAAATCCTTACTATTGATCTGATAGCCCTTAGTTGGCTGATTTTGACTATAATATGGAAATGTTGGCTGGTAAAAATTATAACTTAACCTATTTGCATTATTACATTAAATATAACTTTCCTTTAAGTAAATAAGAGATAGAGTTATTGATAACAGGGTAGATCCTTGATCCTTCTTCTCCTTATCTAAATATAATTAAGGAGAGAGGTGTATATTATTCAACTACACATGTTATTTTTTTTAAATGACTGTGACTATTCTGTTATTTAGGCAGGATTTTTTTTCATTTTTAATTTTAAAGACGTGGGGTAAAATTCAGGGTTAGGTATACAAGTGTTTATTATGCAAGTACCCTTGTTGATGAGGTGGCTGCACCTCCCCTGGCAGTTTCCCACTACTGCCAATCCCATCCCCTCTCCCCTGGCAGATTCATCCCTTTTTTTTTTTTTTTTTTTTTATGGGAACCATAGACATCTGACTCAGATGTCAATCCCTTTCTTACAGTATTGTGATAATGGTTCAAAGTCCACTTATGAGTGAGAACATGTGGTACTCAGTTTTCTGTTTCTGTGATAGATCACTGAGTATGATAGACACTAAATCCATCCAAGTTGCTGTGAAGTCCATATGTTTGTCCTTCTTTATGGCTACGTAATATTTCATTGTGTACATGTACCACAGTTTTTTAATCTAGTCCAGTTTCGATGGACAGCATGTTTGGTTCCATGTTTTTGCTATTGTGAATAGTGCTGCATTAAACATGTGTGCAGTTATCTTTTTCGTAGAATGATTTGAGTTCCTCCAGGTATATTCCCAATAGGGGGATTGCTGAGTCATATGGAAGGTCAATGTCTAGTTCTTTCAGAAATTGCCACACTCGTTTCCAAAGAGGTTGCACTAGTTTGCATTCCCACCAGCAGTGGGAAGCATTCCTTTTTTCTGCATCCTCGCCAGCATCTATTGTTGTTTATTTTATGAATGATGGCCATTCTTACTGGGGTTAGGTGGTATCTCAATGTGGTTTTGATTTGCATTTCTCTGATGATTAGTGAGGCTGAGCACTTTTTCATGTGTCTGTTGGTTAGGCAAGATTTTTTTAAGGCAGTAATAATTTGGGACACTTTGACCAAAGAGAAGTAGAAGAAATTTTTTTTTTCTTCCCAAGGAACCTTGGTCGTCATTTGATGTGTATACCCAAAATGGGCAGCTGGAAATGCCAAAGCGTAAGGTAAGAATAAATAAATACTCTTCCCTTTTTAAAGAATTATTTGGTATTCTGTATTTAAGTTTTTAATTTTAGAATAATTATAAATTTTTAAAATCATCTTATGTCTTTTAATAAATAGAAATTACTTTGTAAGAGTGCTATATTTATCAGCTATCATACAGTGGAAACTAGTGTAGTAATCGGCTTAAATAGAGATCTGACTTCTCTTTTTAGCTCTTTTAGAATGAAAGAACCTCTCAAATTTGGAAAATAGAATCATTTTAATATTCATCTAATTTGATAAATTAAGAGCAAAATTTTATAACTTATTAATCAATGAGAATTTTGTGATATTGCTAATGTTACTATGTAGTTGAGTTCACTTATGGGTACTTCTTGATCTTTTTTGAGTAGGAGTCTCACTCTATCACTCAGGGTGGAGTGCAGTGGCACGTTCATGGGTACTGCAACTTCGATCTGCAGGGCTCAGGTTATCCTTCCACGTCAGCCTTCCAAGTAGCTGGAACTACAGGTGTGCACCACCACGCTCAGCTAATTTGTTTTTATTGATTGTAGAGACAGGTCTCACCAAGTTGCCCAGGCTTGTCTCAAACCTCTGGACTCAGGCAATCCTCTTACCTTCACCTCCCAAAATGTTGGAATTACAAGAGTGAGCCACTGCACCTGGCTACTTCTTGATCTCTACCAAGGGGTTGGGCTTTTGTTTTTGTTTTCTCTTTTTTCGTGTGAGAACCAAAGTGATAGTGTTATACAGTGGTTCTTCCGTTTCGTTTCTCTCAGGGCTACTTGTGAAATTCTAATTAAGTACCCAAAGTTTAAAAAAGATTCAGAAGTTCCATTTTAGAATTCAATGCCAATGATGGCCAAATCCTAGCATATCAACTCAATCTGAAGAGCCCATTTACTTACTTCCTTGTGTTTTCCCTCACTCTTGCCACTAAAGGTAAAAGAAAATTATCAATTTTCTTTCCTTGGTCTGATTTTATAATGATTAGTCATCATTGTGATTTTACTTCTGTTTGATTATTTATAAAGCATATTTATGTAGTTTCAAAAAATAGAATAGGAATAATACATTTTGACTTAGATATTATTAGGGACTTATTCAAATATTTCAAAAATTAACAATCCTATATGTAAGACATTTTCTTCTCTTTTCAATGAGATGATCAAAAGCTAAAAAAGTTTTTTTGGCCAACCTAAATATATAAACTTTTTTTTTTTTTTTTTTTTTTTTGAGTTGGAGTCTCACTCTGCCCAGGCTGGAGTACAGTGGCACACTTACAGCCACCCCAGTGTCAACCTGCTGGGCTCCAGCGATTCTTCTGCCTCAGCCTTCCAAGTAGCCGGAACTACAGGTGTGCGCTACTATGCCCGGCTAATTTTTGATTTTATTGTAGAGATGAGGTCTCACGAAGTTGCCCGGGCTGGTCTCGAACCCTGGGGTTCAAGTAATCCACTCACCTTGGCCTCCCAAAGGACTGGGATAATAGGCTGAAGCACTGAGCCCGGCTCTAAATATATAAACTTTTATGGATGAAGATGAAATAACTAAATGTCATGTTTCATGAAATAAATTTATTTAGATACTGCATATGTCTTTGTTATCAGTGTGTTCACAATTGCTATAGAAGCACTTTGAGACATTTAACAGATTTGTTAGAGCACATCATCTTCATTTTTATCCAAGTTGTTTGAGACTTTCCACTTTGCAAACATCCAATTAAAAATTTTAAGTCAATTTTTTTTCTTATCCTTAGGTCTGGTGGTGATGTACCTCAAATATAATGGGAACTTCGTACATGTTAATGTCATGTTTGGGATTTGATTTTACCCTACTTACAAGTTAATAAATTGTTAGTGTTTCTTGCATGCTGACCAAAGATATAGACTCCTGAATCAGACAGAGGACTTTATTTGCCCCCTTTCCTATGACGTGATGTAATCAGTATGGCTCAATGAGATGTCTTGCATGCTTTGGGGTTGCTTTGCTGCTGAGGAGCACAGAGCTGGGGAAGCTGCCTTTTTTATAGCAAACAAACAGCAAGCCTGCTCTTTGTCCTGGAAAGATATGATCTCATCCCTCAAGGTTGCTCATTACAAACAACTCTGAGAAATATCCCAGATACACAGCTGTTAGGACTTAACATTCATGGCACACCTAACCAAGACACTCATGGCGTGTGGTGATTGTGTCTTCCAACAGGTAGCTTGATGGAATAAGTGAATGGCTTCTTACTCTGGCACTATTTTGTAACTAACACAATTTATTTTTCCTTCTTTCCAGGAATCATTAGAACAATTACAACAAAACCTGTATTTTATTCGAATGACTCCTCGTAGGAATTTATTTACAGAAAACTTAACACCTATTAACTATGATGTATTTTTTCACATGTTAAAGCACTGTTTTGGGAAGCGCAGTGCCAGGCTAATAGACCATTTACAGTAAGTAAAAAGAATAAAAGCAGGTATGAAAGTAGCAATTTAATGCAAGATTATTTCATGTTAAGGGTCTGTTTTTTATATCTTGATTAACACAGCAAGGAACCATGTTTTCACACAATTTTTTTTCAAAATAATTTCTCCCTGGTATTTGTTTCAAGAAAACTAAAATTGTATTTTCCATATAATGTTCTCCTGACCTTCATTTATTTTCCTTCTTTGAAAAAGCACCCAGGGATGCTGCTTAGTTGTTTTATATTTGTCGGGTATAGGCCTAGCTTTATCCTACAGGAAGCACTAGCTAGGGTGGAGAAAATCAGCATTACTAGATGCTTGTTCACTATTTTACCTGTCATTGCCTGGTTGTGTTTCTTAACCAAAGTGGGGATGGATCATTATACCACCCTGGTTCTCTTTCCCTGGACCAAATTTTATTTTTTTAACCTAAAACTTTATCAAAATTATAGCTTTTACTACCTGCTTTGTGTCTATATAACTAAAATTTCTATGTAGGTTTGATATGATTTCTGTAAGTTATGCTTGCATCTTAAAACCAGAAACCCATAAGTCATTCAAAGTATTGCCAGAATATGGACAATATTTTAATTAATTTTATAATTGTTTATATAACTCTGAATGAACTGGTAACTGAACAATATTTATGTAAAAATAAATTTTGAAAGTGGCAATAGACCCAACAAGGTGGCTCACACCTGTAATCCCAGTGCTTTGAGGGGCCATAATGGGAGGATCCTTGAGGCCAGGAATTTGAGACCAGCCTGGGCAACTTAGAACTAAAAATTTTTAAAAAGTATAGGCCAGTCGTGGTGGCTCACACCTGTAATCCTGGCAGAGAGTAGAGGATTGCCTGATCCCAGGGGTTTGAGACCAACCTGGGCAACTTGGCAAAACCATGTCTCTGCAATAATCAAAAAAATTAGCCCAGCGTGGTGTCATGCACCTGTAGTACCAGCTACTTGGAAGGGTGAGGCGGAATGATCACATGAGCCCAGCAGGTTAAGGCTGCAGTAGCTGTGAGCATGCTACCACACTACACACTGAACCACAGAGTGAGACTTTGACTGGAGAAACAAAAAAAGTAGAGTAAAGTAAAATAAAATAAAACATAAAGTAAAATAAATAGGCTGGGCTCAGTGGCTCAGCCTCTAATCCTAGCACTTTGGGAGGCCAAGGCGAGTGGATTGCCTGAGCCTTGGGTTCGAGACCAGCCCGGGCAACTTGGCGAGACCTCGTCTCTACAATAAATCAAAAATTAGCCAGGCGCGGTAGCAATCGCCTGTAGTTCCGGCTACTTGGAAGGCTGAGGAGGAAGGATCGCTGGAGTCCAGCAGGTTGGTACTGGGGTGGCCGTGAGTGTGTCACTGCACTCCAGTCTAGGCGATGGAGTGAGACTCCAACTCAAAAAAAAAAATAGAGTAAAATAAAATAAATAAAAATTAACTAGGTATGCACCTATAGTCCCAGCCACTTGGGGGCGCTGAGGTAAGAGGATTGCTTGAGCCCTGGAGTTTGATCACAGTACTGCACTCCAGCCTAGCCAAGCCCGTTTCTAAAAAAAAAAAAAAAAAAAAAAAGCAACAGACCAAAAGTTATCTATTATTTTTTATCTTACCACCTTCTGTTGGCTATTTTGAATGGAAATACCAAGACAATAGGAAAATAAAGAATATTGTAAATCATGGTATAAAATGTTAAAAATTCCTTTGGAGATCTCTGTGGATTAAAAACATGTTACCAAGATTCTGTTCAATATCAAAAAGTATTGGAAATGTCTTCCACCAAAATATTTTATTACAGTTGTTTACTTAGGGATTCTTGCTAAGTTAACATACAGTTATACACCACATAATGGTGTTTTGGTCAATGACGGACCACATATAAAATGGTAGTCCTATAATATTTTAATAGTGTATTTTTACTGTGTATCTTATATCTTAAATACATAAATGCTGGCTATTATTTTACAGTTGCCTATAATATGTATGTTTGTATGTATATTTATTTACTGAGTCAGGGTCTCACTCTGTTGCCCAAGTTGGAGTACAGTGGCATCATCATGGCTCACTGCAGTCTTGACCTCCTGGGCTCAGGCAGTCCTTCCACCTCAGCCTCCCAAGTAGCTGAGACTTCAGATGTGCACCACTATGCCCAGCAAAATTTTTTTTTTTTTTGGATATAAGGTCTTGCTATGCGCCTAGGCTGATTTTGGACTCCTGGGCTCAAGCAGTTCTTTCACCTCGGCCTTCTAAAGTTCTGGGATTACAGGTGTGAGCTATTGCACCTGGCCTGCCTATAGTATTTAGTACAGTAATGTTACTGTACAGGTTTGTAGCCTTGGAGCAATAGGCTGTATACCATACTGTGCCTAACATCAGTGATTATTAATAAAAATGTGAAAAATGATTACCTCTTTGTAAACTGCCAAACAGCAATTTCTGCTGTTTGTACTTAGCTAACTTTTAACTGAGCCATACTGAAGTTAAGAATATTTGCAGAAAGTAAAAGGATGAAAGATGTAGGCAGAGTAATTTTTAAAGGGCAAGAGATAAACTAGAATTTTGTGTAAGAATGATTAGAATATGCTACAACCTAAATCTGCTATTTTCATTACATTTTAGCCATGAAAGTTTAGAAATAAACATAGTTATTGCAAGCACTTAAACCAAAAAAGATCGCTTATATATGATATTAGGCATTTTAAATTGAGTTTAGCTTAATTCTATCAACATTATCACAGTTATTTGAAAAAGAATTAAACACATTTACTTTGTATTTCTTTTGCAGTTCATTGAGTCCAGTTGATGCAATGGATGTTTTGATGCAAATAGGAAAAAATGAAAGAGTGAAAGTAACTAATATATATCCTCAAGAATTTAAACGTCTTTTTGAAACTATAGAGTGCTGCAAAGATTGTGCTTATAAATGGGTGTATGATGACAGCATGAACAATACAAATGTGTAAGAAACTAGGTTTTCAATTCTTTAGCCGGAGTGGTTTGTTTATTTGGAAATTATGACACAAATGAAAAAGAACTAAATTTTAAAATCTCACATCCTTTCACCAGGCAATAACTGTTCTTGTTTTCCACAGGCAAGACACATAATTTCTTCTGAAGTTGATACCATTGGCATATTGGATACAACAGTGGCTGCTGTTTTACTCTCAACTGAATAAAGTGACAACTTGTTAATTATGGATTTGATCAGATTGATTTGTTTCAAATTCCTATCTACTGTAAACATACTGGCACTTGTAGGGTATTACCAGTTGAAATTTAGTTTATTCTTTAAAATCGTTTTGGCCAAACATTTTACATGGTATTAATTTAAATTTTTTTACTTTCACTGTTGCTGATATTTGTATTGTCTTGGGGAGCAAAAGAGTCTATACATTATTAAGCTTAGAAAGTAAACAAAACTGATTTAAGTGGTTTGTTTTACTTTTCATTTTGTTTTAAAGTGTATTATCAAGTACTGTACAATGCAATTATTTAAATTTTCATATGATTTAAGCTTTTTTAGAAATTAAAATATTTTACATAATAAGATTTTGTGATGATTTTGTGTTTCTAGCTAATGAACCATTAAATTTACCCTGTCCTATAAGGTTAATGTACTTTAATCATTCAGTCTGTGTTACTCAAAAGTCTCTTGCATTTTTGTTCCATGAAGAAAATTTATCTGAAGTTAATCTTTATACGAACCTAAATGCAATTGAGAATATATTTTTGTCAGGCACAGAGTTTGAGGTTTCAGTGAGCTACGATCGTGCTACTGCACTCCAGCCTGCAACAGAGTGGAACCTTGTTTCTAAAAAATAAAAAATAATAAAAGAAGTATGTTAAGGGGATGCCTTTCAGTTTATGCATTTGAGTGGTCTCCATTAATTATAGTTTGAGAAATTAACTTGACATTCAATGTCTTTCCAATGGAACAGTGAGCCTAAAGATAGTTGAGATGTCACCAAATCTCCACTTTCAAGGAGTATAGTTGACAGATGTCCCCCAGTCACTACCCCTCCGAATCCACCACTATGTTTATGCCTAGGGTACACTTGCTGTAGGCTCCTCTCAGCCAAAATGATTCAGCATGGTAGAGGTGTATTAAGGCAGGCCAACTGTGGTGACAGTTTTGTCAGAACTCCCTATTGGCCTGACTGAACTTTTCTCACAGTTTTGCTGCACTCCAAGACTCTTCCTAAGCAGTCTTCCTTTCCTGTCCCCTTCCATGGAGTCAGACCTGCAATCACAGTCTGAAGGTTCATCTTGCCCCCTGTTCCCTTCCTTCATAAACCTCTTGCACATCTCTCCCGTCTTGACATCTGCCTCTCTGCAGACTCGAACTAACGCAGGAGTCAAGGCATTTGAAAGTATCAGGAAGATAATGGTTAAAATAAGCAAGTGCGAGAAAGTCATGTTTTAAGTCACTTGCATGCTGGCATAAGATACCAGGTGTGGCGTGATTTCTGGTGATTACAGGGACCAGCACCAATTAAGGATTAAGCACTTACAAAAATAGCTTACCAAAGAACCTTTCTTTTTTCCTGTTGGCTGGGGATAATGGATGGTTCGTTTGGATCTTCCAAACCCGATGACTTTAGCAGACTCTTCAAATGAAACACTGAGAGCATAGCCTCATATCCCTGAAGAAATCCTTTCACTAGAGGAGTGAAATAACTGCCTATTCCATTAATTCTAAGTAAGACCATGGTGGCTAGGAGAGCTCCGTTCTTGGGTTGTTACATCAGTAGTTTCTTTTCATGGTACTAAAGCTGTGGTCCCCAACCTTTATGGCATCAGGGACCAGTTTTGTGGAAGACGATTTTCCTAGGCATTGGGGGCAGGGAAAATCATTGGATATTACATTCTCATAAGGAGTATGCAACAGATCCCTCGCATGTGCAGTTCACAATAGGGTTCATGCTCCTGTAACAATCTAATGCCCCCAGTAATCTGATAGGAGACAGCTCTGCTGGACCCTTGCTCACCTCTGTGCACAGTTCCTAACAGGCCACAGACCAGGGGCTGGGGACCCCTGTCTAAAGGATATTTTTGTTTGCTTTTGGAATACTGATGTTTTAAAAAAATTTGTTATTTTAAAGATGGGTACAATTGAGGGTTAGGTATACAAATGGTCATTAGATAGGTAAAATTTGGGCCTCTCTTTGGTCCCTACTTCACTTGGTTTGAAATCGGGTACCCTTATTGATGAAGTGTGATCCTCCTCGCCTGGCAGTTTCCCGCTACAGCTAATCCCTTTCTTATAATAGTATGATAATTATTCAGGGTCTGCTTATGAGTGAGAACATGTGGTACTCAGTTCTTTGTTTCTGTGAGAGATCACTCAGTATTATAGACTCTAAATCCATCCAAGTTGCTGCGAAGTTCATAATTTTGTCCTTTATGGCTGCATAATATTCCATCGTGTATATATACCACATTTTAAAAATCCAGTCCACTTGTGATGGGCAGCACGGGTTGGTTCCATGTTTTTGCTATTGTAAATAATGCTGCAATAAATATACGTGTGCAGGTATCTTTTTCATAGAGTGGTTTGAGTTCCTCTGGGTATATTACCAGAAAAGGGATTGCTGGGTCATATGGAAGATCAATTTCTAGCTCTTTTGGGAATCAACACAGTTTTTCATAGGGGTTGAACTAGTTTGCATTCCCACCAGCAGTGTAGAAGCATTCCCTTTTACCCACATCCTCGCCAGTATCTGTTGTTTTTTGTTTTATTAATGATGGCCATTCTTACTGGAGTTAGGTGGTATCTCAGTATGGTTTTAATTTGCGTTTACTTTGATGATTAGTGAGGCTGAGCATTTTTTTCATGTATCTGTTGGCTACTTGTATGTCTTCTTTTGAGAAGTGTCTGTTCATATCTTTTGCCCACTTTTTAATAGGGCTTTTTTTTTTTTTGGCACATTTGAGTTCCTTGTAAATCCTAGATGTTAGGCCTTTGTCAGATAATATAGTCGGCAAATATTTTTTCCCATTCTGTGGGCTGTCTCCCTTCTCTCTTGATGGTTTCTTTTGCTTTGCAGAAGCTTGTCAGTTTGATGAGGTCCCACTGACAACTTTTTTTTTTTTTTTTTTTAATCAGAGTCTCACTCTGTCACCCAGGCTGGAGTGCAGTGGCATGCTCATGGCCACCCAGCGTCAACCTGCTGGGCTCAGGCGATCCTTCCACCTCAGCCTTCCAAGTAGCTGGAACTACAGACACGTGCTACCACGCCCAGCTACTTTTTAAAAAATATATATATTGTAGAGACAAAGTCTCACCAAGTTGCCCAGGCTGGTCTCAAACCCCTGGGCTCAGGCAATCCTCTTGCCTTCGCCTCCCAAAGTGCTGGGATTGCAGGCTTGAGCCACTGTGTCTGACTGACAGCTTCTTAATAAGAAGATCGATTTTTTGTTTTTTGGCCAGGCGTGGTGGTTCATGCCTGTAATCCTAGCACTTTGGGAGGCTGAGGCAGGAGGATCACTTGAATCCAGGTGTTTGAGACCAGCCTGGGCAACATAGCAACACCCTGTCTCTACAAAAAAATCAAAAAATTAGCCAAGCATGGTTTTGCTCACCTGCAGCGTCTCCATAGAAAAGAAAAAAAAAAAGAAAATAGACTTTTTTCTCCCCTCCAGACTATACAAGAATACAGCCAGGGTAACTTCAAAAGGTTATTAAAACAGGCATACTCTATGTTAGTGGGTTAAAAAAGTTTATGTTGTGGATTACCATTTGTTCTCTCTTCATTAAACTGTAGAATTGTATTTAGCATGTTACTTATCTGGGCCTTGGTTTTGTCATGGGCAAAATGAAAAGAATTTGACTATGTGGCCTCCTTATCTGTGAAATTCTATAAAATCTGATAATATGGGGACAAAGATGTAAGAAAATCTTTTGGATTTTGATCTCCCTTTGATCAGTCCTTTGATCTCCCTTCACCGTGTTATAGGTCCAGCTCAGGCAAATCTTTAAAGTCCCTGGTCTTCCTCCACTCTCCACATCCTGCCTGTGTCTGGTTGGCCCTGCATTGGGTGGATGAAGTAGCAATGAGCCTGGATATCAGGGTTTCCAAAGCAGTGGCTCATTTAGATTATTCTTCTTGGGATCAAAGATAAACTCCAGGTAATCATTGAGGTCCACTAGTGACAGGAGGATGCAGAGGGCTGGTGCATGTCGAGTCTGTTGTCAGGCTCAAAACAACCACCAGTAATAATAGTGGGTGATCCCTTTGCAGGACTCCATGGCTCCCACACACTTGAGGCTTCTGCTTCCTCCCTGTATCCCAGATGAAGCTTCCTTAGCCTTTGTTCACTGATCCAACCAAGGGACAAGAGGCCTGTCTTTTTTTTTTTTTTTTTTTTTTGAGTTGGAGTCTCACTCTGTCACCCAGACTGGAGCGCAGTGGCCGCTCCCGGCCACTGCAGCCTTGACCTGCTGGGCTCCGGCGATCCTTCTGCCTCAGCAATCCAAGTAGTTGGAACTACAGATGCACGCTACCACGCTTGGCTAATTTTTGATTTATTGTAGAGATGAGGTCTCACCAAGTTGCCCGGGCGGGTCCCGAACCCGTGGGCTCAGGCAATCCCAAAGTGCTGGGCTTACAGACTGAGCCACCGAGCCCGGCCCTGTCTTCTTTTAAAAAAAACCCTGAGAATACAGTGGACTACTTTTCTGTCTGGGCAGCCCTCTTTTTCCTCACAGTTGGAGCTCAAGGATTCTCAAGTCTAGGCTGAGAACCCAAGACCTAAATCAGGAAATATTTAAGTAATTCCAGCTTTACATTCTGTGACTCAACATGAGCCATCCTGACCTCCCATAAGCTTCTCGGTAACTGAAATCTACTATCTTTATGCCTTGAACTTTCCATGGAAGACCTCATGCCTTCTCTTGCTGGTGCACTGTACACAGGCAAACATCACCACGCTTCAATTCATGACAGAAGCAACTTAGCCGTTCATTCATGTGTCATATATCTGCATCCTAATTATGAGCAAAATATTGTTTAAACCAAGCGTGGTGGCTCACTCCTGTAATCCCAGCCCCTTGGGAGGCTGAGACAAGAGGACTGCCTGAGACCAAGGCTTCAAGATCAGCCTGGGCAACTTGGTGAGACATTGTCTCTACAATCAAATCAAAAATGAGCTGGGCATGGTGGTGCACACCTGTGTTTCTGGTAACTTGGAGTGGGATGGAGATGGAATGATTGTGCGAGTCCAGAAGGTTGAGGCTGTTGTGGCCTTCAGCATGAGCCTTGAGACTCCTACTCAAAAACAAAAAGGAATGAGAAGGAAACCAAGAAAAATAACAAATAGATACATTAAACCAAATGCCAAGTGTAAAACTTCATTTGGAATCTGAATCAAACAAATCAACTCTAGACACAAATGAAAAACATATGAGACTATCAGAAGAATTTTTAAGGTGAGACTATGGTATTTTTCCCTCAACATTTTATTATGAAAATTCAAATATTCAACAGAGTTGAAAGAACTTAGAGTGAACACTGTATACCACCTACATGCTGTCTTTCATATTTTACTAC